ATAAAAATTTCATTTGATTTTTCATCCCAATGAGCTTTAACGGATGATACATGACTTGATTTTTCCTTATTCTTCCTATTTTCAGATTGTGTTTCCTCCTGGGAACTCATTCTATGAAAGAAAAAAATTATTTAAAACAAACTCATTCATCATTGCTTGCATTACAACAACTAGATTAGTAAAAAATAACCATACATGGAAATTACGTCAAACATATCAACATTCATTGGGTACAAAGCTTAGTACAATAGTTCATGGTAAACTACATTAGCACAAAAACACCAAGTATCTCTAAACGGCACCTATCATCATTTGAAGAGTAATGCAACTAACAAAACAATACAAATTGTGAGCAGACCCACAACAAGCTACTTCATGAAAGCATTGGATTGCTCAAGTATTTGGTTCTTCACTTTTAGTCCTATAGTCTCCATATTTTGATTTTGATCAAGCATTTTCTCGTTCATCAGCCTCTCTACCATCGTCACATATTTTGGGGTACACCACCTCCAAAATTGACAATTTCTTTTCTCATAAATGAAATACAGTCTCCCTTTAGATGGCTTGTCAAACTCAATAACCCTTATCGCAGCTCATAGCCCACAATTACATTTCGAAGCCTCATACCTCAAGTTAAAGGTCTTAGCACTAGAATAATAGTTACTAGAGAATGACATACCTCTGCATTAATTAGGAAGAATTTGTTGGAAATGGTTATAAAATTCTGGATAAAACCAGAATTTTTTCCTAAGTTCGGTCTATTTTTTAGGTGGGCCCCGAGTGTCGATTTACTCGGGTCAAAGTGGTAACGCGTTCTATGCCGCGTTGTGATTCACGTGGTATATTTGGTTGCTCAAAACCATTACCGAGTGAATGGGAAATTGAAGCCAAAGTGTGCTCCATGGAAATGGAGTTTTGGTGGAAATTCCTTAAGGTTGTAAATTGGCTTGTCCCACATTGATTTGGTGGAAAGTTTTGAAAGGGTTTATAAGGCTTAGGGTGAGATACTTGGGGTGTGCCCCAAGGGGTACCCAAGTGTTTTAGAGGGAGAGGTTATGGGCTAGACCCATTGGACCCAAAAATCATCACACATGCGCGCCGCCGTCCGGTTGGGCGGGCTGGGCCTAGGCGCAGGTGCGTGGTGTGTGGTTGGGCTTCTAATCTTTTTGGGCCAAAAACATTTGAATTTAATTTTATTTTTTATTAAAATAAAATCCAGAATTCAAATTAAACTGGTTTGGATTTATTGTTCATCCAAACAGGGCCCTTCCCGTTTTCAAACAGAATTAATCTGATTTGGATTTATTGCTCATCCAAACAGAGCCCTTCCCGTTTTGCTATCTGTTTGAATTCAAAACCAACAGGTATTATATCTGTTCAATTCAAAACCAAGAGCCACATACCTGTTCAATTCAAAACCAAGAGCCACCTTCACATCTATAAATAGGACCACCCTCATTTGATGTTTTTAATTCAGAAATTTCGTATTTCACTTCTGCTATTTATATTCTTCATCTTGCTGCATTTTATTTCCGAAAGAAAGAGTTTAAACACTTAGTGTGTTCGTAAGGCAAACAATTAGTAGTGCTGCTATTGTTTGTGGTAAATCATTTCATCTTGGGAGATAGACGTCCGAATTCTGAAAGTACCGTGGAGAGGACGAATCTGTCTTAAGGATACAGTGTTAAACACTGGACTTGATCAGAAAAGTTATTCAAATAAATTAACCAAGTAAGTCGTTTAATTTTATTCTGTTTTTATTTGTTTATTTAATCAGATTTTATTTTTGTTTTTGTAACAAAATAAAATCTGTAGTTTTATTTATTTATTTTTATTTCGAGTTTGATTTTTGTAATCAAACAAATTCTCTCATTTTATCTATTTCTTTTATTCTTGTTGTTGTTTTGTACACAACAGAATTTAATCTATTTAAATACAGTGAAGATTGTCCTACAGAATTGAATCCAAATCCTCTAAAATTGATTGAGAAGTTAATTGTAAATACATTGCACCCAAGAAGTATTGATTGGGAAGAACTGTTATTGCATTGGAACTTCCAATGAAGTGCACATCAATACTTTTGGGTTATCTAAAGTCAATTGTCATTTTTTGGTATTTTTTTTCTTTATTTTAGATTGATTAGCAAGTAATTGTCTATTACTATTGTTTTCTAGTATAGGTGGGGTTTCTCTACAATTACAAATTTCGTGGTAAGCTCCTGACTATGATGCTTTCGATTATTGATTATTAAAATCTTAGAGAAAAATTCTCTCTATTGTTTATTCATAATTTTCTTATTGCACAATTCTTTCTTCAACACGTTGCTATGCATTAGTTTTATTCAAAAGCGATTTAAAGACCCAAAGTCATCTCGAAGTAGATTGAAGATTGGGTGGATTTGGAATCATATTTTTTTTATTTTTAAATGTGATTGATTTATTTAGCAAGAGGTAAATTACTTTTATTTTATACTGATGCCTTGAAAAATATTATTAATTGATGATGGATGTGGAGCAATGTTTAAAGGGCATTCAATAATTTTTCTTCTAACACGAAGCGAGTCAGTGGCTAATAGTAATTTTTCTCAATAAAAATTTTGTTGTTGCTGCTCAAAAAGTAGTATTTCCAAAAATCTTGTGGAAATGAAACAATTCATCAGTTGCAATTTACATATCACTAGGACCAGGTAACTAACATTAGTAGGGCATTTTTTTAGGACAAAATTCGTTTTGTGATTTAGTTCTCAGCAGATATCCTGAATTTAAATAATAATAAAAAATAAAATAAGATAAAAACTGTTTCTGTCCAGGAGATTTATGCCACATTATTGTCAATGAATTTGCCTATCTTTGCTTTAGGATGGCTCAAGGAGCTCTACTATTTTGGGCATCATCGATTTATTATGGCACTGGATAAGAAACTGGTAGCTTCCAAAAATTCTTGCTATTTCTGATATGTGGAATGGTCCAACAAGTAGAAAAATGTAGGGGTTCCACATAAGATACGGTACGATACCTTGGAATAATTAGTTATACATTGATTGATTTGATGATAAAGTACTAAAATGGATTATCCAATGATCCCAAGAACATTGTTTTCATTGTCAGGGGCAGAGGAAAGGTTTCTCTAAGCAAGTGGTTTTCGCCATGTGAAAAACTCAATCTATCAGCAGAACATGACTACTTCACTAGGTAACATTTGGTTCAAAAATTCAATCAATTGTAATTTTTGTCTGTCTTGGTTTTAATCTCATTTTCGTATCTCATGAAGGTGGTGTAGGGATTCTCTATGGAAGCCCAGCGTGTTGCCAGCGGATTTTGACCGTAAAAAAACTGCACTTCCTGTAGTGGAGCATTATGCAGAGGCTACAGATGGCTCATTCGTCGAGAAGGAAATTAAATCAAAGGGAGGAAATTAAATCAAAGGGAGCACTTATTATTTATAATTTTTTATTTAAAAAAAATCATGATCAACATTAAGAAATGGAGCATTATACAGATGGCTCATTCGTAGAGAAGGAAAGTGCAGAGCCAGGAAATTAAATTAAAGGGAGCACTTATTATTTATAATTTTTTATTTAAAAAAAATCATGATCAACATTAAGATAATAATAATTTTATGAGCTAAATTTAAGTATAAGAAATTAAAAATCATTATTAATAGGAACAAATCAAAATTCTATAATAGTGTATAATAGCTTGGTACGGGATGGTAATGTAAGTTTGTAATTTTAGCACAAAAAATTATAGATCAAAATTCCTAATTTTAGAAAATAAAAACACATTATTTATCTATTTAATTTTTATTTAACATAAAATATTAAAGTGATGATAACTCTTATAAATGATGTGTTTTGAATTAAAATTATTAAATAGTCATAGAGTACCACATTGCGTTGCCTTGTGATGCTTAAAGCATGAAAAATCACAAATCACAATAAATCGTTTGTCAACTATTTGAAAATAATGAGTTAATTATATTTAATTGGAAAGTGCAAAGGGAGGAAATTAAATCAAAGGGAGCACTTATTATTTATAATTTTTTATTTAAAAAAAATCATGATCAACATTAAGATAATAATAATTTTATGAGCTAAATTTAAGTATAAGAAATTAAAAATCATTATTAATAGGAACAAATCAAAATTCTATAATAGTGTATAATAGCTCAGTACGGGATGGTGATGTAAGTTTGTAATTTTAGCACAAAAAATTATGGATCAAAATTCCTAATTTTAGAAATTAAAAACACATTATTTATCTATTTAATTTTTATTTAACATAAAATATTAAAGTGATGATAACTCTTATAAATGATGTGTTTTGAATTAAAATTATTAAATAGTCATAGAGTACCACATTGCGTTGCCTTGTGATGCTTAAAACATGAAAAATCACAAATCACAATAAATAGTTTGTCAACTACTTGAAAATAATAAGTTAATTATATTTAATCCATATGATTTCCCACTACGCTATTGATTTAGACTACTACATAAACAATACCACACGGTGCTCCCAAAGTATCAAATAACTACTAATTATGAACAATACAATAAATCCTTAGCAAAAAAACATGTTAAGAAAAAAAAGAATACATTTTGTATATGACCACAAAACAAAAACGAAAAAAAGTTCAAAATTGAGGGGGGCACATGACCCTCCTAAGCCTTCTTCGGCTCCGCCCCAGACTTCGGCTCATGGAGGGGAAAAGAGCTTGATCACCTTGAAAGTGTTCTTGCTAATGAGCCTGTGGTTGTTAAAAGAGGTCAACACATTGTTGAAGTGAAACAACACGTAAGAAGCATGATTAATTTTCTGCTTGGTAGTTTCCTTTCCTAACCAATAAATATGTGTCATAAATAATGTCAACTTATCAGAAAAACAATAAAACTTTAACTTTATGAAAGTGCATATTATTTTTTTCCTCTTTTCCATGGCGGATATGAGAATTTGATTTTCAATGGAATGATGAAATGAAAGATTTCCAAATAGAGTAGTGTAGATAATGAAATAATTTGATTTTTCATGATTGGGTATAGTAGTTTGAGTAAATGATGTGGGGTGTATTTCCTGATCGTTTGGTGGATGATTTATTTTTCATTGCAATTTGTGAATTGCTGTGCGTAAGCGAAGGAGTAGCTGTGGAAAGGCTCGTTGCAACCATGCGGAAAAGTGGGAAGCAGCCAGATTTTGTGTTGTGCGTAGGAGATGACCGTTCAGGTGAAGATATGTTCAAGACCATTGCAAGGTCTGTTGCCAACCAGTTGTTGCCTGCCATAATAACAGAAGTTTTCCCCTGCACAGTTGGTCAGACACCAAGTATGGTAAAATACTATCTTGACAATACTTGTGAAGTCATCAAAATGCTTCAAGGCCTTGCAGTAGCATCTAGACAGCTCCCTAAGGTCGCATTTGAAGGGTTTCTTTCTATGAAATAGTTGATTTGTGGCAGGTACAGTATAGGTATATGGGTCAGCATTCACTTGATCTGTAGTCTAGTTTTTATTCAGTTGGGCAGGAGTATAGGAGTAGTACAGTGCTAGTGAGAAAGATAGCATTGTACAGAAAACAAGTATACATTCACAGGTCACTTGAAACAAATATTTGGAAATTTTAACATCAGGGATTGATTTATTTCTAGTGCTTTGTCCATAAATTTTATGGCATCCCCTTCAACTACAGTGAGCATTTTAACTCTCCCAATACCACTATAATTGGCAATTATCCGCATCTTTTAAATTCTAAAATCTAAATCCCCAATTCCATCCTTTCATTTTTCATCGACCCAAATAACATTCCGCCCATTGCTTTCTATTCTGTTTAAGTGTTTTCAACCATCCAGTCCCATTTTGATCACTCTTCACAACTACAAATCAGAGTTACAACAAGAAGAATATGATTTTCCATTAGCCAAACACCATGGAAAATTGCAGCCATGTAACCTTTTGTACAATTTGTAAGTCAGAATCAAACTGTAAACCAAAAACGTAAAATACATATGGTAGTCAACACTACACGATTCATGAGAAAACTAAAGCATAAAGTTTCATTCTATAAGATTTTATCCACTCCAGCCTCTAATCTGTTTTTCCTCAATACTGGTTATACTTGTCGATGTCATAAAACTCTATGTTCTTGTACTTCTGGGATATTATTTCTGCTTGAACTTTTCTTGCCGTGTCAGTAGCACAACCAACAAGAATGAGAACCGAAGTGCCTACAAATCCCCGGAATGCAGTCAGGTGTGTAGTTTGTTCAATCACAGCAGGACCAGCAGCCAGAATTGCCAAAAATGCGGATCCCAGGACTGATATCCGACTAAGAACCTGAATTCAACCAAAAATAGGTCATAAATCTGTCAAAATTATTTTGAAGCTAAATTTGTGCCAAAAGTTCAGATATCAATCAAGTATAAAATACTCATTAGCTGTATGAATACAGAAGAAAAGAGCAAACAAGGAACCAAAATATCTCCACAAAATCTATTCCAAACTCCTCAATGAGTAAATCACAAAAGAGAGTGGGCACTAAGTTACGAATTAGGGATTTGTATCCTGAAGAAGCAGAATGTATTAGGTTGTTTATGTATCGCTTGGAATTTACAGTAGTCTGTTTTGTTACATAGCATTGACCCACAATATCAGCCAGGCAAAGCAAAGGGTCTAAAATTAAAAGGTAATCTGAACAAAATGCAAAGTACCCAATTTCATACAAGTTGGGAAAAAAGAAACACCCGGTTTAATGCAATAAAAACAAAACTGGACTCAAATGAAGTACTCCAAAAGAGACAAAATTCATTCAATTTCCAGATGACATCCAAACACCACATCAAAATAGATGGGTAAGGGAGTAATAAAAAATAAAAAAGGGAGTAATTTTTCTATTGAATTCGAACTCTTTTTTTTTGGTTGAAAAAGTAAATTATTTTGACAAAAATTGATATTTTTTGAATTTTCAAAAGTCAAGCATATGAAAATAATGAGGCATGAATGTTCTTTCTACAAGAGAAATTTAGACTCTCATAGGAAAGTAGCTGCGATTGAACACTAGAGAAGCTGATGCCCATGGCTTACTGAAATGTCTTAGACTGATTTACGATAAAGCTAGAACCAAATGTATGTCTAAAGCAGGGTGAAGCTGACTAAATGTACAAGCTGGAACAAAAATAAATGATAGGCCATATATTCAAGTAGACAGGAAATTACTGCTTTAATAAATGCAGTCGTACTTTTACCGGGTCGAACAAGTGGGATTGATGCACCTTGGCGCTTCAACTGTTCACTCACATCATCAGGATCCAGCTGTAGAAAAGTGTAGTAGTAGTTGAAGAAGGCTATCAATAGAATGTGTGGGGCGATGGAGAGAACCTACAAAGAATTTATCTGGTCAGATTTAGAATATTTCAAATGTTTCATCTAAATCGAAAGGGAAAGCCCCTGCAGCCTACTGAGACTCAGTTTTAGAGGTGAGTTTTAAATGCACAAGGAATATATTGCTAGAATAGTTGGAATTTAACTTTTTCACTGGAATATCTCAACTTACATCAATGGCAAGCTGTAGCAAGCCCGCGAGGGGTCCTTCGCTGCTACAGTTCAGACTCGCGATTTTTGTTGTCGCGGTTCTTAATCTGAACCAAAGAGTCCAAATCTGGCAAATCGTTTTGAGAAACAGAGTTTTGAAAAAGTAGTGCCAAACATGGACTGCTTTGCCAGATACAGAGTCGCCACCTAAATATTTTTAAAATGGGGAAATTTAGGAAACCCTGACTCGGTGCCGAAGGCCACATGTCCGTCATCACCGGAGTTGTCTCGGCTCGGGAGCTTGGGTACGATCGGGGAAGGTCAGCTATGAGCACCCCCTTTCGCCCGGTCCGAAGACCGGCCTCTACTAACCATGATATCCGATTTTGAAAACATTATGGTTCTTATTCCAATTATTAGCCTAGAATTACTATGTTATGCGCACTGAAAAATTCTTCAATCTAAATCGCCCAAATTGGAACAAAACATTCCATGTTTGTTTCGCAAAATGAGAGTGTCAAAACCCAAGTCAACCTTAGCCATGAACTATGTTAACCTGATTCCCATTCTTGGAATATGTAGGCAACTTCATTCTGACATTCGATCTCAACCATATCCATCTCATCCATTTCGACTAAATCGTCTTGCCCAATTCACATCGTCAACTTCGCATCAATCCATAAGCTATACTGACTGCTGCACTTATCATACTTGTTTTGGGTAAGAAAGAACTAGCTTAAATTAAAATGTGGACAAGGCTAAAGCGCTAGAACTTACCAGTAGAATCTCTAACTTGAAAAAAAAAAAAAAAAAAAAAGGCCCCGAAATT